AAACATTCAATTATTTTCGCATACTTGTCAGTCGTGTAGGTATATATATTGTATGCACGTGTGCAGCCGAAGGTTGGCAGACACGGTCGACCGGATGGAACGCGATATTCCCGTATAGCGAGTACGTCGGTACAAATTTCGATTTGAATTTGAATTTGAATTTGAACGCGATATTTCGGGGTATTCCGATCACATGCAACCGCAAGCTTCGACCACCATGTTGGGCAGTGTCTTTTGAGTGATCGTATTGTTCGAATCGACGTAAAGCAGCTGAATGGCCGACAGTTGCGTCGGCGAGCAACACGGCACGATTTCGCTCCTGCGATGCACCGTGTTTCCTCTTCTAGCCAGAAGCCTCTGAAAGAAGAAAACGAATGCGCGTTACGGGATTCTGTCGGATACGAGGAAAGATAGGAAACGGAAAAGGATCAAACAGATTTCTCACCCTGATTACGTTGTTGTAGGGAGAGCCACTGGCGGTCAAAGAAGCCGCGGAAGAACAAGAGCCGCGGCAAAAGTAGGCGTGATATCCGCTCGGATGCAGAATCCAATCGCTCCAGCCGATATCCTCGAAATTGATGTACAGCTCGTCCCTGCAGCATTCCTTCATTTCCGGTAGACAATTCGAATTCCTCTTCGGTCTGTTCTTCTGCGGTAGCGGCGACGTGTGTATCACGAGGAACGGTTTCAAAGTGAGTTCGACGGACACGGGGGCGGTGTCGCGGTCCATCGAGCAGGTACTGCAAGCTATCTGTATCGCGTGATTCAACCGAAGCTCTTCTACCCATTTTTTCACGGTGAAACTCACATCCGTCTTTACCCAACCCTCTGAAATAGCAAAGTTATCGTCGAAATAGCTTCGTCGTCGCGTTTCCATTCTACTTTCAAACGATTCTTAAGCTCTCTATTCCACGTGACATTACTAAATTCGTTGGGTGTCTTTCTGTTCCGCGGGCTAAACTTCCGATACTCGCAATCAGCCGAACGCGTTGTACGGGCAGAAGCACGTGCTAGCAGTTTGTATCGATCGAGGATGGTATTCCGTACGACAAGTATCTACGCCACGCGATAAAAGAGTTACACGTATCGTTGCTCTAGCATCCTCTTTCAGCGACCCGATACGTCTATATCGCGAGGATACCGTATTTTTACCGACGTATCGTTACCACGGTCTAAAGTCCCTATCGAGAGGCGACGAATATGCAGAATCGTCAATACCGTTAGAGCGTCGCACCGTGGACTCGAGTGCTTTCAATGTTCACTCTTATTATTAAGCTTTCTCTTCCTTCCCGAATCTTCTATCGAAGCTGCTGCTCCCCTCGGTCTAACACCGCTTCTCATTGCCAGCGAAGGGCGCGGCTCCCTTTCCGGTTTCGAACGATCGAATCGAATCGTTCGATAAACCACCGCAGCCGAACGTGCAAAGAAAACAGGAAGATTCCAAGCTCTCGGTTTTTCTCAGTTTACATATTTCGGCGTCGATTAGTTTGCAGCTGCGCGTTTAAACGATTCGTGACAAATTTCAAAAATTTCAAAAATTTCAAAAATTTCAAAAATTTCAAAAATTTCACTAATTTCACAAATTTCCGAGTAAACGAATAGAAAGAGGTGAAAAGTACCGAAACGAATAGAGAGCGATACCTCGACAAGGACGACTTACCTTTGATGTCTGTTTGGAAGATAGCCACTACCGTGTTCTTTTCAAAATTCCCACCGAGATCCCAATGATCGAGCTCGGACAGCACAAAAGTTTGGTTCAAATCATCGTTCTCGTCGTACTCCTTGTAGAACCATAGTTGCGCCGAAGTCACGTCCACGAATTGCATCTCGTTCGGCAGATAAAAAGTGAAACAAGCTGCAGGGTTAAACCCCGTCAAATGATTTGAACTTTGTCGACAATTCTTCGAATCGGCTACACCTGAAACATTTCACGCTTAGTTTTTCTGTTTCTTTTCTTTTCTTCTCGTCCAAACGAATAGATTTGTTCGTTTCCGTGTAGACGATTTTTTCCCGAAAATTCAATCTCTCGCGGCCGCCGTATTTTCAAACGGTCACGCGCGATGCGCGTGCACCGCTCTCGTTATCGAACTCTCGACCTTCGACTATTCCTTTCCTCGCTATTCAACATCCTCGACACAGTATTCTCGAAATTCATAAAGTCGCAAATACATTGTGTTCTTCTATTCGAAGAAATCCTCGGCACAGCCATTCAACGGCAACGAGTCGTTGGACCGCTGGATTGTTGGCGAAAAGAAAAGGAGCTTCCAATGTGACAGAGTTGGAAATAGGAAACGAAATGAACTGCGTGTAATGGCAAAGAGAAAAGTGAAGCGAGATACGAGTGAAACGACGACGAAAAGGCAACGTTAAACGCTCATTCGTATTTACATAACATTCCTATATATTTGCTTAATCGTATACGCGATAGGTAAAGCCAGTACCGTCCAATCGGTCGATCAAATTGCCGAGACGTCGATAAATCTGATTACGGTACTTTCGTTCATTTTGCCAAGATCAACCGCTACTTGTTCAAGTATACCGCTACTTGGTACATATTTCCTATTAACGTCGTTTGTCGTTGACGGCGAAGGTTCGATAGAAACGGAACATGTGGGATTTCTTGAAATCGATTTTCAAATATATTTCAAGTATTCGTAGACTCGTAGCGATCAAGTATGACAAATCGGATATGACCGTAAGCTTCGTATAGTCGATTAGCATATTCATTTGGAAAAGTGATCGGCGTCGTTTCGAATTCTTTGAAATTGCTGTTGCTATCCGGCTTGCATTTCTAATTGCGAAACTGTCCAGTCCAGAGTATCCTAGTTTCGTAGGTTCTTCTCGAAGAGACAAATTCGAAGACAAGAGACTAACCTTCGTTTGGAAAAACAACAATTTGGTCGGTTTTCCCGTAGAAACTGTCGATTGATTTTTCCGGTTCGAGAGGCGCTCCGGGTCGAAGTTCGAGCACACGACCGTTTATCAAAGGCTTCGGCAAGGTCGAGAGCGGCATCGATATCTCTGGAGGCTTGGAAAGTCGCAGTTTCTTCAGAATTTGTTGCTTGACGTACTCGACCCTGAGCTCGGTCAAAATCGGATCGCTCGCGAGCAAACTGATCTTATTGTGGGCGCATTCCGCGCACTCCTCTTCCTCGGACGAGGAACTCAAGCTGCTGGATCCGGAAGAGCCAGAAGTCGACGAGCGAGGGGAGAAATTCCACCAAACGGAACTCAACGGATTTCCTACTTTTGGCCAGATCGCCTCGACCCGATTTCCCATCACGAGTAGGCAAAGAAGAAAGAGCTGCACGACGAAACGCATCGTTACGATCGCTGTTGATCATCGGTATTTCTTTTCACCGGTTCGAGTTGCCGACACGCTCTTACGATAGCCGACTTGTTCTTACGAATCCGCCATGTGGAAAGTTGACCGGTGATAAAATTTGCATTGATTTTCCATTGAAAAATCGCTTCCCTCTTTCTCTCTCTCTCCCGACCCCCTTTCGGAATCCTTCTCCAATCTCTCTCTCT